AGTTTCTTGTATTAACTTCTCCTAATTGCTATGCGAGTAACAGCACTTAAAACTGACGTTGTATTTCCCAGTTTGCTTTTCATTTCCTCAGAATTTGCTTGCATTTCCGCAGAATTTCATCTTATTTTTCTCCAGAATTCCTTCGTGACACATACTTTATTCTTGCTCCTTCAAATCGGATTCCCTGGACTTCCTCAAAGCTTCCTGTATTAACTTAACATTTCCCAATTCCTAACCAAATAATCAACTCCGTTTTTTAATGCTTAATTGCTATTTTCCGAACCCACTTCCTTCATGCTTCCTCAGAATCTCTACTTCAAAACTTCTTGTATTGGCTTCCCCTAATTTGTATGCGAGTAACAGTATTCACTTAAAACTTACGTTGTATTTCCCAGTTTGCTTTTCATTTCCACAGAATTTCATCTTATTTTTCTCCAGAATTCCTTTATGACACAATTTATTCTTGCTTCTTGCATTACTTTAACAATTCTCAATTCGTAACCAAATAATCCACTGCGTTTTTTAATTCTTAATTGCTATTTTCCAAACCCACTTCCATAATGATTCCTTAGAATCTCTACTTCTCCCAAAACTTCTTGTATTGGTTTCAGCGTCTCCAATTTATTGATATATGTATATCCTTTAGATTTTAATTTCCAAAAGTTTCTTTTTTATTTGCATAGAATCTCCTTTTATTTCAGTAAAAATTGTCTTATATCGCTTAGAATTTACTACTAGATGCCAATGTCTATCATTTTCCTGAGATTATCTTAAGATTTCCTCTCTAGATCACCAGAACTTGCTAAGTAAGAATTTTCTGAAAGTTTTTCGAGTATCCTTTCACTTCCTCTTAATCCTCCTTTTTGTATTGACTTAAATTTCCTGAAATTCTATACAATATTAGCTTTCCGGAAAATTATCCTCTGTTTTTTCTGAGATTTCCCGTATTCCTTAGAATGGCTGTTTGAATAAATTAATTAGTCAGATTAGATCGTAATTTGTATGTAGTTCTAGCTGTACTTTAAGTACAGCATCCGAATGTCATGTAGTCATTGGAATGCTTGCATACTGTATGGTGCCTGGCCAAACAAATAAATAAATACCTAACAAATAAATAAAGTTTTCTCTTACTTCCACAAAATTACTCCGGTTTTTTTTTAGTAAATTGTTCTCGACCTCAAAATCCCATTATATCCCTCAAAATGATTTTATACCTACGTGTCACATTTAATTCACACAACGTTCCTTATGTGACGTAAACCGTTGCACCATACCTGGGTTAATTTTCCTACATTTTCACGTGGTTCCCTTCGTATTTTCTTAAAATTATCATTTCGTCAAAGATTCTTATAATCCCCTAGAATTTCAGAGTTTGCATTCACCTTAATTTCCACAATAGGTAATTATGATGCGAATTGAATATAAAAATGTTCTAAAAATGTTGCTTTCATGCTTTACAAAAGTTCCTACTTTATTTCTTGAGAATTTCCTTAACCTTTTACATTCGAATTTCTAGAGAAATTTTTCATTTTCCAAAACTTTGCTCACATTTCCTTGGGGCCTTCCGCATTTTCTCATTAATTTTGTTAACCAGCTTCATATAAATAGATAGACAATAAACAGTATCATAATTCAATTCAGTAAACATAAACGCAAATTTCAGGTCGTATGCTCGGATACGTCCGAGTCTTGTTGACCCATACAATTACGAATTCCTCCGTAGTCCGTAGTGTTATTTTTCAGAAAAAAGATCGAGAAATTTATCTATGTAATTAGCTACAAATCAAGTGGTAGAAGCAAATAACTTTAAATAAATCTAGGTGGTAATACGGAGACTGAGCTGGGAAAATTATCTGCCATATATTCGAGCAATAAATGAGTTATACAAATACAACTCTACTATAAATGTGACGTCACAAACACGTGCTCAAGAGGCGATTTTTCACCTGTCATACCCAGTGCTCAAGAGTACCTCTTCAGTACCCCGAATAAGGAACCTAGCAGCAAAAACTAATACCTTTTACTTAACATACGCTACGCGGTCGCATAATGGAGAGCGTTTTAAGAAATTGTCGCTGCGAGTTGCGTGTTTACCTACTTCCTTTCGCATGCGGTTAAATGTAAATTTTTTTTGTCCGTTAAATTTTCTTTTAATATTCGCCATACGAAAAGAAAATTAAAATTGAAAGTTATAAAATGCGAAGTACAGGGAAAGCGTAAGAGTAGGAGAGGGTGCGTTTGAAGCTTTTAAGGCATCGGCCGCCATATTGGAAAACAAATTGCACGCTTTGCGTCTGACAGCACCTAGATGTCTCAAAGAGCGGACTCACAAAGCGCTCCTGCTTCTGACAACTTCAACAACTTTGAGCTTCGTTTGTTCAGTACAGAAAAACAACTGTTCGCCGGATTATGCTGTAGATTGAAAATCTAAAACGTTCTGTGTGTGTAAGTATATATATATTGAATTTATTCTACTTTATCAAGTTTTCACTCTATTTTCTTGTATTAGTCATGAACAGGTGGTATGCTTTCAACACATCTACCAAGAAATTAATATAAACTTGATAGAAGCGAACGGCCTTTAAAATGAAAACTGAAGCTATTACTTACGTTTACATGCACCTTGATGAAATAAAGTAATTAACAAGTTTCGTAAATGTAATTACAAAATGTATCGGGAAGTGTCCAATTTTCGTTTAAATTGCTTTTCAGCAACCAGGTTTTATCAATCTGTCATTAATTAATAACCTAATTTGCGAAATATTCGGATATTATTCTGATCGCGTGAACTGCACATGCACTGAATGTAATTAAAGTTGTATATTCGTTTTCGAAGTTAGGAATGCAGTATTCGAAATTAGGTAGGTATTTATTCAGCGAAATCAATGCTGAGTTTATTACAATTCCTCCTATTTTTACCTACGCCATATTTCGGCCTTGCATATTACCAACATTGTAGAGCTCTCTAGAGATATCCTTGTAAAATACAGTTAAATTGATTGATAAATCAGCGTTCTGTGGCTGAGTATATGCAATGAATGCTATTACACGGTTAATTCTCAAAATAAAGTTCAAAGTATGACCTAAATAGAAAACGTTCCCTACCTCTTATTCTACAAGCAATAACTTCCTACAAATAGTTCTATGGAAATCCAAGGAATATTTAAAAAAAGGTTTCTAAATATATTTTAGTAGTGCCAAATACCAATGAATTTTTTAATGAGGAGAGGTTTTTTTATAGGAGGACTGCTATGTATGAATCCAGTGTTTCACGTTGTACGTTTCAGCAAACATGAGAATTTTGAAATATTTTTTTCGTGGTGTTAAACGAACTTTTTTGTATGTTAGGGTTACCTGAGATGTAAAGGAATGCCAATGTTTCGTGGTACCATATGTATATACACCTTATTATAAATATGTGGTACCATTGAATTTATAAACTATGTGGTACTAAAGGACACCTACATAAATCTTAAAGTTTTCAACGCATTTACGCATATGAGAATTTGAAACCTTTTCATGGATGTTAAACGGATTTTTTTTGTAAGTTAGGGCAATTTCATCTCTGGGAATGAAGGTCAATTTCGTAGTACAATAGATATCTAACCTTTCCATTTGAGTTTTTAATCCACCTTACGCAGGTTTGGTCAGCATTTCTTTAAACTTCAATTGGGGTTTGATTATAATCCTAATTGCGAATCGACAACCAACGCATTTTTGATCGCCCTTAGAAATTCGCCCCCGGAAGATTCGCCCTCGGAACATCCGTCCTCGTTACATTCGTCCTAGTAAGATTCGTTCCAGAAGCTTCGTCCCCAGAAGATTCTCCCTCGAAAATTGCGCAAGTGTTTACCTATCCAATTTAGGTGTATTCGATCGAATCGCCAGTTAAGCGCCATTGGAATTGAACAACCGGTGTTTAAATTAATTACAGTAGTATACTTATGGAAAAAATAATTCTATTTATTTTACCAAACCACTCAATGTCACTTCCAATTAGTGATAAATTAGGCATACCTACTGCGGCAGGAGTGTCGAAATTAAACTAATTGTATAAAAACAGCCAAACAGGCAACGAATTAACTTGCTTCAATTGTGAGTTAGCTTTTTTAGAAAGAAATTTAATTTTAGGACGATGCAAATTCATCTTTCCGAATTCAGGAAAGTAATTAAATCTCGATTCGTAAACAATAATTACTGTTATTGTGTTTAAATAGTCTCGTTAGTTGCCATTATCAAGTTCGAGGAGTAACTGCACGTTATTTATCTCGCAGCGAACGGCACTAACTTTTCAATATTTTCCTCTACCACAGCAACACGTAAAAAGTCACAAAGTTACAAAAATCCTTTGATTCATCGCATTAGTTAATACCTTTTACAAGCGCAATTATTTTTTCCCTCTTTTTTCTTTTTTTCATACAACCAATCTCTTACGGTTCAAGTTGTTATTTATAGATAGCGAACCTAAATTGTATTTAAACGTCTTACATCGATCTATAGGTATGTTAAAAAAAACTTTAGCCGGTTCAAATTTTTTACTTTACCTACTTTATATTTCAACGAATAAGCAGTTTGTATGCAGAAAGCTCCTCGATTCGCGTATGATAGAAAATAGTTATTATTACAGCACATCATTTCACAATCAGGGCATACGAGATGGACAGAGGGTGGTGATTTATAAAAAAAAGTATTTATGCGTTTGAATGGAGCACATATTTGTACTTTATGCTTATAGTAGTGTAGCGTACATTGTTACGCATGGGGTGTCAATTTTAAAAATCGCGCAAAACCGTTTCGGGGGTATCGAGGGTTGTGTACGCACGGGAGACGCTGGCCGGTACGCCACTGGACAGGAGTGGCAGAGACGCTAGAATAAGTGAGGTTGTGTTCGAGCATGACCATGTATTGTTTGAGGAATTCTCGTGTATCTTTTTGAGTTATTAAAGTAGCATATTTATAACATTGGCGCAGTCGGTAGGATTGAAACATAACACAGTGCAATGGCTACCATCGGGATGGTCGAACCGTTCGATACGGAACACCCGGAAAATTGGAACGCCTACGCGGAAAGGGTTGACTTCTTCCTCGAGGCCAACGGGATCACCACCGATGGCGACAAAAGGGCTGCGTTCCTAAGCATTTGCGGTCCTACCACGATCGCTGGTGCAACCACAGCAAGTAAGGGAAACCCCACATACGGAGATCATGCAGAAACTGAAGGCACATTTTGCTCCGAAACCGTCAGAAATTGTGTGCCGGTTCAAGTTCCATCAGCGGCGCCAGCAACCCGGGGAGGGTATGGCGAAGTTTATAAACGCACTACGCAATCTGGGAGAGGGCTGCAATTTTGGCTCTGTGTTAAATGACATGATCCGCGACCGCATCGTGTGCGGAGTGGTCGAGGAATCCCTGCAACAGCGACTCTTGGCAAAGGAAACCCTTACCTTGGATGTGGCGCAAGCAACAGCTTTGGCATTCGAAGCAGCTGCAAGGAATGTGTCGGACCTGCGAGGAACTCCTGACGGCTTTCTAAAGAAAATAGATAATCGGAAGGAAATGACAAAGTTATGTTTTCGGTGTGACGAATCGCATTCATCGGAAACATGCAGGTTTAAAACAGCGGTGTGCCGTTTTTGTGGAAAGATGGGGCATATCGAGAGGGCATGTTTGAGGAAGAAACGGAACAGGGGTAGTAAGCGGTCCGAGCAGGTGAAAGCAGTGGCGTCTGACAACGATTCTGGTCGACAAAATGAGAGTGACAGTGAAGAGGGAACCGAGTATTCTATTCACAGAGTATCCCCAGGAGATCCTGGTAAGCTACAAGTTAAGTTGTTACTTAATAGTACTGCATGCTGTTTGGAAGTCGACAGTGGCGCGGCTTATACCGTCATTAGTGCCAGCTGTTTCAATTCATTACGAAGGAAGCCCAACTTAGAACGGAACACAATCATATTACGGGACTATCAGGGCAATATGATTGAGACACTGGGGACGGGGTACGTACGTGTCGAATACAAAAACGTGCACAAAACTCTTCCTGTGATCGTAATTAAGGGAACGCGCGTGGTGAATCTTTTGGGGCGAAACTGGTTTGAGCCATTGAACATTAATGTGTCTGGGATTAACCAAGTGCACAACGCGGTACTTAATAACGTGATTCAAACTGAACTAGAAAGCGAATTCGCGGAAGTGTTTGACGGGACTTTGGGCGTGTTCCGAGGCCCTCCAATTAGCCTCAATTTACCACGAGATGTCAATCCCATTGTGTGTAAGGTACGAAAGGTCCCATTCGCATTACGACCTCTGATTGAGGATGAGCTGGATCGCCTACAGCAGCAAGGAGTTATTGAACCTGTGACGCACCCCAGATGGGCCACGCCCATAGTTCCGGTGGTTAAGGCATCGAATGAGATCCGGTTGTGCGCCGATTATCGTATAACTGTGAACAAGGTGTTGCGACCAGAGACCTACCCCATTCCGAACGTGCAGGATATGCTGGCCAACCTAGCTGGAGGTCGTGTTTTCGCAAAACTTGATTTGACACAGGCATACCAACAGCTGACTGTCGATGACGAAGCCGCCGAGGCACAAACTATAATCACACATAAGGGGGCGTTCCGGGTGAAACGTTTGCAATTTGGGATTAGCAATGCACCACAAATCTTTCAGCAGCTAATAGATCAGAGGCTGCAAGGCATACCAGGGGTCATGCCCTATTTTGACGACATTCTGGTGGTTGCTAAGGATGAGGCACAGCTGTTAGGACGATTGCGGGAAGTTCTGACCAGATTTAGAGAAGACGGCCTTAAGCTGAAGAAGGCAAAATGTGTATTCAACGTACATGAAATCGAATTCCTGGGTCATAAGATTAGTTCCAGAGGACTAGAGCCAGCAGAGGAAAAAATTCAAGCGATCATTCGAGCACCGGCCCCAAGTAATGTTACGGAACTGCAAGCCTTCTTGGGATTGGTCAATTTCTATGGGCCATTCCTCGAATCGAAAGCAACAATAGCGGAGCCACTGCATAAGTTACTGCATAAAAATGTAACATTTAGATGGGGAAGAGACGAAGCACAGGCATTTGGGCGTGTTAAGTCGCTATTAACGAAAAAACCCATTTTATGCCATTACCATGAAGGTAGGAAACTAATCTTAACCGTAGATGCGAGTTCGTTTGGAGTAGGCATGGTTCTCAGTCAGCCGCAGGAAAACGGAAGGGAGGCGCCCATCGCATTCCATAGCCGTACGTTGTCAAAGCCGGAAAGAAACTTTGCCCAGGTGGATAAAGAAGCGTTAGCCATCATGGTGGGAGTTACGAAATTCCACAACTACATATTCGGACGGAAGGTTGAAATTCGAACAGACCATAAGCCCTTGCTGGGAATCCTGGGAGAGAATAAGCATTGCCCAAACGAAATATCGCCTCGCATGCTGCGCTGGAGGTACAATTTGAGCGCATACGATTACAATTTGGTCCATGTAGCGGGTAAGAAAATTCCACATGCTGATGCCTTGTGTAGGCTTCCGCTACCGACAACTCGAGAAGATGTTCCGAGATGCGCGGATGTCCTGATGTTTGAGTGTGTGGAAGAATCTCCAGTATCTGCCCAAGATGTAGCTAGACAAACTGCTAAGGATCCCGTCTTAGCTCGTGTAAGAGATTTTGCATTAAGTGGATGGCCCACATCGCTAAGGGACCTGCAATCTGATATTAAGCCATACTGGACGCGGCGGAATGATATCACGTCGTATAGGAATTGCCTGTTGACTGGAACCCGTGTCATTATTCCGCCGGGAGAGAGAAAAAGGATTCTGCAGGTGTTGCACGAGGCTCACCCAGGGATCATTCGCATGAAGGCGCTGGCAAGAAGTTATGTATGGTGGCCAGGAGTGGACTCGGACATCGAGGATTTTGTTGCCAAATGCGAAATATGCCAGCAACACAGACATATGCCACCCAAGGCTCCCATTCACCCTTGGGAGTTCGCAAGGGAACCATGGCAGCGCATTCACGTGGACCATGCCGGCCCAGTGAACGGGAACTATTTTCTCCTGGTTGTTGACTCGTACAGCAAGTGGTTAGAGATGAGACGAGTCCCTTCCCTTTCATCGACAACCACCATCCAAGTATTACGGGAGATATTTGCGACACATGGGCTGCCGGACGTCATAGTCAGCGATAACGGCACAGCATTCACGTCTGAAGAATTCAAGCTTTTCGCTAAGAAGAATGGATGCCGAGCAGTGAATGTGGCCCCGTATAAGCCATCATCAAATGGGCAGGCAGAGAGGATGGTGCAATTTGCGAAAGACTCGCTGAAGAAGATGGGCAAAGGGGACGTGGAGACCAGGATCTCTCGATTCTTATTGGCCCAACACGCGACGCCGTGCACAACAACAGGACAATCACCTGCCGAATTATTGATGGGCCGGAGGATCACCACTGCACTGGATCGCATTAAACCCAGCTTGACCACGGAGATGGATCAGAAAAGGGACCAGTTGTTAGGGACAGAAGTGCGAAGCTTCAAGGAAGGACAACATGTAGGTGTTCGTAGTTACGTGCCGGGAGACAAGTGGATTCCAGCCCAGGTTATGCAGAAAACAGGACCAGTGTCATACAAAGTACAGACTCCGGAGGGGAAGTTGTTGCATCGGCACAGCAACCAAATGGTTACACGTCCCATCGAACAAGAAGTCCCCGGGATAGAAACATCTTCAGAAACAGATGAAGACGAACAAGAAGCCATTCCGGAACGGGCAGAGCAACCTATGGCATCGCCAGAAGGTTCTCTTAGAGCGAAACTCCCATCACCAGAAGGAGGAACCACGCCACGTCCCAGCACACCACGGCCTGAGCGGAATCGCCGACCACCAAGGCACTTACAAGACTATGAGTGTGCGTACGTAAAGGGGGAGGAGTGTTGTGTACGCACGGGAGACGCTGGCCGGTACGCCACTGGACAGGAGTGGCAGAGACGCTAGAATAAGTGAGGTTGTGTTCGAGCATGACCATGTATTGTTTGAGGAATTCTCGTGTATCTTTTTGAGTTATTAAAGTAGCATATTTATAACAAGGGGGAACCAGAATGACGTTATGGGTGTCACTCATAACATGTTTCTGGTTCCTCTCGATGCCCCCGAAACGGTTTTGCGCGATTTTCTATATCTTCTTTAGTTTGGAAAATATGGCCGACTGCAAGTTTTAAAATTGACACTCCGTATAATAGTTTTTTTCTGAAAGATGAACATACCATTTTTAGAGTGTAATTCCATATGATTTTCGCTTAAAAAAACACATCAACTTGATTGGCGAGTGTTTTACTTTTCCATCTTTGAGGTACTTTTTTGTGTATTAGACATTAAATTTAAGAAATTTATTGCCAGGTAAAATTATTCGCTAATTATCGATAATTTTCCGCAGCAAATAAACGTCACATATACACACGTAGGTACATTTAGATAATAATTTTCAAAGATTTTTCAAAGTTTTGAAAAGAGGAACCGGTACCTCCGCATGATTTCTCTTTAGTATCATCTGCAGTTAGATAAAGGTGTTTGATCAAATTTTTGCAGGGTGCACAATACAGCGGTCAAGTTTTGTAACGGTTTATTTTCTTCATTACGAGTAAGTGTTCACGGTATATACATATATTTATTGAGTGATCCCCGTAACTTTTGGGGAAGCAATTTAATAGATGGCTCCATCTATTGTTGCAATTTAACAACGCAATTCTACCGCGCAGCTGCTGTGGACCATTATTAATTTTTCCTTTCTTTCTGTGGAGAACCATGTCCAGTTACACTTCATTAAAAACCAACAGCTGAGGCGTTATCCATATTGGATTCATTAATTTGGGGATTCCGGAAATATTATTAGTGAACGGATGCGCCCTTAACCTAGGATATAATTGCGTTTTTTCTTCTTTATCGTAAGTAGGTACGCCATTTGCATTTTCAGTTATTGAAGTGTACATTTTCTTTAGGTTTCGGCCGACATTTGTCATAGTACAATTTCCATCGACGATTTTTGCTTCATCTATAGTTTAGTTTATCAAGAAAGAGGGGTTACCTTTGATTTTCTTTTAGGGTTTTAATTGTAGGGTTCAAGTGTTACCGGTTTCCAGTAAAACCGGAAGTGAAACGATCATGATAATATTGTCTTTCGATAGATTAAAACCATGTCGTATGTTATACGGATAAGCGAATATGGGAATATCTCAGATATTCTGTGAATAAACTTTAAAAGAATATTCTCCATTTACCACTTGGGATACTGAACATAAACTTGAAAGTACGATAACCGTTTCTTCTCAATATTCGAGAATGCTCTTCCCTTGAATATCCATAATGTTATCCAGATAGAAATTTGATGCTCATTCGGGAGTGGGGCATTTTCTAATACCTAGCAAGTTAAACTCAGAACTTACTGTAATTTTGTATTTTATAATTAAAACAGATACTCAAACAGGTAGGTGTGCATAAACTCGTACATCTATAACGATTTAGGTGATGTTTGCTACTGCAAACCGTCCTCAATCTCTTCTTGTTTTCGGGCGGAATTTTGTTTAAACTTATTGCACTGCGTCGCGACTTCAAACAAAATATCCTTAGAATCAGTTGAATCAATGCCAACATTGACAATTTTGGCGCATTCTTGTATGTAAAAATCGAGTTGCTGATCTGTGGGATCGTTACTAGGAGTTGTAGATAAAAATTTGTTGGTAAACTGAGCCAGTCGCGTCAGCGAAGAGCTAAATGCTTCGTCCAAATCGAAAAGTTCCAAAGGCGGCGGCGGTAGTTCGCGAAACGATGGAGGGAAAACGGCAGCCTGCAAGGGAGGTAGAGGCGCTTCGAAATTTGGACTTATTAACTTCAGTGTCTGGTGCTTGACGTCTAATTTGTCGTATAATTTAACGGCTTGTGGCACTAAAAGGAGGAATTTAAAAAAAAGGAGTCTGTGGCTGTTGAGTTACCGAAATCTGTATTCATGGAGTACATTTTGTGGTCAAATAATTTAGAGTAATCCGTCGAGATTGCATGGCCAATTGCATCAGTTAAGCATAGTTTAGCTCTGTCAGCGATTTCAGTAATATCGGGTACAATATGATGATCCCATATCTGTGATTTCGCCTAAATTACTGTGAAGTCCTTGAGTTGGTGCCTCAGAAACCTACGTGATCGACAATGTATGTGACTCCCCCAAAATTTTAGGGATTTTGATGCAGAATAACTAGAGCAACCCTCGTTTTTTCAATAAGCACATTGATATTTCATGAATTGCTTTACAGTTTGAGTTAATCACGTAGGTTTTTATACCAGCAACCCTCGACTATATAGTTCTACTTACTTCCAGATCGTCATCGTGATCTGTAATAACAGAAACTTTATCAGTTGATGCTAAAAACTCAAAAAGATATTCGCGAAACTTTTCATTATGTTCTTGATCGATATATTTATCTGCAAACATGTGCCCAGATCCGATTGTAACTAAAGTGCCTCCTGTATTTCCATTGTAATACATTCCACAGAGAGGTCGATCTGCGGGAAAAGTAGTCGCGCCACTAGTGAAAACAATCACACTTGGTTTATTGACATTTAACGTGCACCCATGTGGAACAACTAAATTCAATTGCACTTTTTCTTTGGTTAACGCTTCCAAAATGTTACCATCCTCTATATAACACTCTTTTGGATGGAAATATTTGTAGTAATGAGTTCTGATCAAAGAATCTACAATGAAAACTCCTTATATGGGTGTATTGCAAATGTAGCAAAATACTTGCCCATATTTGGAACCATCCCGTAATGTTCGAGTATAATATTAACATTACTAATATCATCTTGATTGCTTTCATACAGTAAGACTAAGATTTTGCCACCCTGGTCTAGGTACTTCTTCATCGCTTCAATTTCGGACTCGGAAAAAGGATTTCGACAACCAGGCAAAATCAAAATACTACATTTCTGTAGGACAGCGTCATTGATTTCTTCTTTATTGCTGTAAGAAGTGCAAATCAATGCAAATGCTTAGAGAAAGTTGGCACATACACCACAAGCTTCCAGTTGATCTTTAATTTACGTTGAAGTATTTTAAAGTTGTCATTCAACTTAAATAACTCATTTTTGGTAGCGTTAAATATTATGGTGCTTTTATTATCAAAGTTTATCTATAATCAAGATGTAGAATGCTAATCTAATTGTTATTATTTGCCACATTACCTCAATTGGTGCCATTTTTGCTAGGATGTATTGATTAGTGTGTATAGGTGTTGCTAGGAAACGTAAATAAAACGCCACAATTTATGAAAACATGTATTAAGGTATAAAATTAAAATCTATTCTCTGTAACATATACACTACTTTAACAAATGTTCTTCAAGATGCAATTCTTGTCTGAGAACACCATCGAATATTGCTTCGGGAAGCACAACCGTAGCAGGTGGAGTTTGCTTTAAAAACTTTGTGTATTTTGATTTATTTTCTGCGTTTGCAACGACGATTAGGTTCTCTGTTGATTTTGTTGGTGCCTTTAATAAACATTTTCCTCCACAGGATTCAACAGCACCTATAAAAATTTTCCCACTGTTAATAGCTCCCTACTATACCAAATTAGTTTGGTTTTTTGAGACGTTTATATATCGGGCGATCAAAAATGAATGACTGTCGAGGCCCCTTTGGAAGTTCAAGTTAAGTTCGATTTCCCATGTAAACAAAAATTCCAAAGGTAACTTGACGGTCACTCATTTTTGATTGCTATGTACTGTTTTCTATGCACTTACTAATTTCTTTAGCAAAAAAAGATAATGCATATCTCTTTGGTTTAATGTGTCAAAGTCTTAGAACTAACCTTTAAGCACATCAATCGCGTTGGTAACTGTGAGATACACGACATAATCTTCCAGCAGTTTATGATCTCGGCTCCTTTTCAAAGATTCTTTCAAAGATAATTGCCATTTATCTTCCGCCTCTTCATCTTGCAGTATGTAGTCCCACGGATCTATTGAACACAGTTAGTTAGCATTTAGACGAATAACAACGCACCTAAGAATTTATTCACTTTTTTACATTCTCTAATCCAATCTGGCGAACAAATGGGTTTGCACTGTCCAACGGCTGTTAAAAGTTTTTGAGATCGTTTCAAGCTTCCCGTCACAAGCACGGTGCATGCTTCAACAGAGTCTACTACTCTTCCACCTACAAGCAAGTAACAATTAATAAACAAATATGATACCTCAGGCCCCCATAAATCTGGGGGATTCTTTACGAATATCCACAAGGGTGATTTATTTTACTTGAATTTGTTGTCTTAGTGTTGTTTTGCTTTTGGACTTGTTTTGTAATTCCGTAATTCTTGTTTTAAGTTTCATCGCTTTTGTAAATTGTTTATTTCGATTTGTGTATTTAATTGTAAAACGCGAAATTGCGTGTTTAAAATGTAGGACATCTGGTTGTTTTGCGAAATTTAATTAATGCACGTGTTTTGGTGCTGATAAC